TACAAGTAAGTAAATATTAAAGTATATTTTAATTTGTGATAAATATCTAATATCTAATCTTCATGGAAATAACATAACACTTGCCCCTTATCACTTCTGATAAGACGGTAACCATCACCACGTCCACTGCACCACGTTTCTAGACAGTGCTTAATCTTACCGCAGTTGATTCCCGAGAAGTTTCTCATTTATTAGTTGATTCCCGGCCCCCGGGTCATTAAGAGGTACGTACGAGTTGATTCCCGGGTCATTATATATTTTATTCAATATTTAGTAAAATATTCAGCCTATTAGCATAACCCAAGAAACACCACGAGGAGGTTGGCTGACAAGTTTCTCAAAAATGTTGTTTTTTTTAGTTTTTTCATATTTTGAAAATCATTCAATTTTTATTAATTAATTATTTATTGAATTATATTATATTTATTATTATTAAAAACATTTAGTAGTAATAAGGTAAAAAATTAATATTAAGAACATTTAGTATAGTAACTAGGTAAAAAAATATAAAAAAATTTAATAATTTGGTAAAAATTTGTAACACATTGTTTTTATAAATTGGTATCTGGTAATGAGATTACCAGTATACCGTGACATCTCTTCTCTTAAAAAAATTTGTTTTTCTTGTTGTTTTTTAGATTTCTTAGTTCCATTACTCCTGCATTTAATATACATTTCTGATTGTACTTTTCTAACAGCTCATTTATAAATACAAAAATATTTGGGTGCCCACTATAGAAACAACTGTTGAGTTTAGAATGAAAGCTAAAAGCTAAACTCTTTACTCGTGCAATCTATTGATAATTGATATACAACAATAGGGAATCAACTCGTACGTACCCTCTAATGGCCCGGGAATCAACTCAACGGTGTCGGTGCAGGTAAACAGGTACCCGGGAATCAACTCGTACGCAGCCATTTATTTTTGTATCATCAAAAAAATTGCATTAAATTTTTTTGGCATATTGAGAATTGAGACCTGGAATATAACGATTTTAAAAGCCCTTCCTATTAGTCCCTAATCTATAATACCTGCCCATC